ATCAATCTTGCTTGACCTGAACCTTTACAATAATGCTCTTTTCGACAGTTAAGGTAAGATTCTGAGTTACAAAATTTAAATTAAAAAAAAAAGAACAAAATACTGACTTTAGAATCCAAACTACATTTGAAAATGTCTTCATCAAATAGGCAAATTACTTAACTTCTCTGTGATACCATTTCCTCACTAGCAAAGAAGCTTGACCATGAGATCATCCATGTTTCCAGAACAGATTAAATAAAAAAAAAGTTCCAGAGAAGGAGCATTTCTCAAGGACAAGGGGGCACACAGTAGGTCCTCTCCAAAGGCCTTTGAGTCTATCAGCAACCAAATCTACACAATATGAGCCAGATAGGTCTTGGGCAAGGGTCATGTTTGCAGAAGCATTTACACATCTCTGTCTAAAGCCCAAGGAGGGAAAACAACCAAATGTGGGAAAGTTTGAGATGGGGGTCACTTCCCACTGTGAGCCAAGAAACATGAGAGGCAGGGAGGGGAAGTGGAGGAGGAAGAGTAAATATGAGAGGATTTCCATTTTTGGGTGTTTTATACTTTTCTGTGTAATGACTTGCCCTCTGTTTGGTGAAACCCATTTCCGGTCCCTGTTCTTAGCAGGAACCCATGTCCAGTAAGAACCAGACTGCACGGAAAGTCCACTGGGTAGCATGGCTCTTGCCTGGGCTCACAGACTGAGTGCTCAATTTGAATAAAAGCAGTTTGAGGATTTCCAGGGGAAACACCAAGGGCAGCCTCTGATGGCTGCTGGGTCTTGTGACACACAGAGTTTAGAAGGTTCTACTTGGGCTACTTTACGCTGCTGCCCCACCCCGCTAGGACACACTGAGGCTTGTGCTTGGCCAGGGGAACCATCCAGCATTCAAGGCACAACCCAGGAAGGGCCATAGATACACGAACTGAAGGGGATCCCTCTGGGCTGGTAAGGACTGGTCATTAAAAACGAACCCTTCTGGGGATAGCAAAATGTCCAGGGAATACCTGAATGGGAGCAAGTGGTGTCTCATAACTGCCATCACAATGTGCCAAAGTCTGGGGGACTTTAGACAATAGTTAGACTCTGAGAGTAAGTTGTCAGCCAAGGCTTGTTCCCTCTGAATCCACAGGGGACACCACTTCCTCATACTTGCTGGATCCTGCAGTCCTTGGCTTGTGGAAGCATCATTGGCATCTCTGCCTCCCTCTTCCTATGACCTTCTCCCCTCATGTGTTCTTCAGTGCAAGCCGGGCTGACCTTAACGCCTACAAAGGACCCATTCACAGGGTCTGAAGGTTAGACTTTAACTTATCTTCAGGAGTGCAACAGTTGATCTTCATCTTTATATTGACTGGATTTGAAATCCCTTGGAGGCAGAAACACACTCTGGGGGTATCTAAGGGTCATTGAAGATTATGTGAGGGGCCAGACTTCAAATGTGTGTGCCCTATCCAACTGTCAGGGGTGCTGGAGGAAACAGAACAAGGGAGAAGACCAAGGCAGTGCAGTGCTGAGTTTTGCCTTTCTCCACTTCTCTTCAGCTTGATGTAAATTGTTCTCATTCACCATGCCTGCAGTGTGGACTCACTCCTCTGAAACCATGCACGAAAATCATGCCTTGCTCCTTGAAGTTGTTTTTGTCAAGGTTTAGTCACAAACGCTATGTCAGAAAGGAAAACCAGTTCTACACACTACACACAGAGCAACAAAGGAACATGGGCAATGGCAAATTCCAGGCCTAACATGTTCCTGGCTAGGGGAGGCAGCAGGCAGATCATGCTGTGTCAGGAGACAGAGGAGAGAGTGACTGAGGAAGCAACCAGTGCTTCCTCCTCTGACAAAACAAACCATTGGTCCCAGCCCATATTGGTATGTGCCTCAGAGAGGAGGCTGTTTTGACAGGGAGCCTCCTACCTGGCACTTCCCACTTGTGACTGATAGATGAGACAAAACTGCTTCTGGCAGTAGCACAGTCTCTGGGAATCAACCTTCCCTGTGACATCCTGGAAGGCAAGAGAAAAGGCTAGAGAGCATCTTTCTTTACAAGAAAAAGGAAGTGGGGTATCCTGGGATATGTACAGGATCAAAGGGTTATGCCAGATATACATGCTTTTCCATCTGAGGCTACCCACTATTCATTCCCAAATAGCTGCAGAAGGTGTTCTCATCATGGATACTTCTCTAGGACAGAGAAAAAGCCAAATCTGTCTTCTTGGAGATTATTGTAAAGTGGACAGAAGGAGTGGGTAAGTCACTCAAATACGTGAGGCACATAGGAAAGCACTAAGCTTATTGGAGGTCAGCAAAGCTAGCCAGGGGACTCATCGCCAACACAGGATGGTGGGGAGTCTGACTGTTTAACATGGGGATCAGGAAAGGTCTCTGTGAGATGTTGCTGCTAGAACCAGAAGGGGAACTGAGTAATAGAGAAAGAGAAGAGTCAGCATTTACAAAGATCTTGGTGTAGAAGCTTGTCCTGAGTTACAGTCAGGAGGGCAAGAGTAAGTTGGGATCAGGGAGGTGGTGAACCAGAGCCCATGGGCTCTGTGAACTATTGCAGGCTCATTGTCTTTACTCTGCAAAATGTGAGACCCTCAGTGCTTTAGAAGCAATTGGGGCAGTGGTGGCATACACCATTAATCCCAGGATTCGGGAGGCAGAGACAGGTGGATCCCTATGAGATCAAGGCCAGCCTGATCTACAGAGAAAGGTCAAGGACAGGATACAAAGCTACACAAAGAAACCCAGTCTCAAAACAAAACAAAAGATAAGTCACGTGGCCACACATAGCTGCAAGGGAAGCTTCAAATTTTGAATCTTAAGGAAGCTATGTGTCTACCTTAGAATGAGAAGTTCTGTTATTAAATATGATCATTTGGTGTTCTATCATGGAAGTCCTCATTTTAGGAAAATTTTAAATCAAGAGTCAGGCACAGTTATCAGAGTAATTTCCCCCAGAAGCCCCTCAGCAAAGTAGCTCAGAGGAGTGGAGGAAAATGACTAGTCCGGAATAGAAAAGTGGGACTTTAGATCTGCCACTCATTGGTAGCCAGTGATAGGAAGGAGGTGGGATAAAGTCACTGCTATCTCTCCAGGGTAATGCTGGACCATGAAGAGCGTGAAGGAAGAAGGATGCTGGGGTTCCACTGTACCAGGGATTGCATGTTAGAGTTCTTGACTAGGACCCTGAGTCTCTTCACCAACCTGGATCAGAGAGGTAGAAGAGAGCAACAACGAACTGCAGAGAGAACTATTCAAGCCAGACGCAGACTCCTACAGAGCTGCCTACCTGAAACCAGCCAGCAGAAGGTGGTAGCTGTGTAGGTCTCCAGGCTGTTGCAAGGAAGACTTATGGTGGGGTTTGATGTCACTCTAGACTGTGAGGCCATAAGTGCCACCTGAGAACTTCCATGAGGCACTCTTGGGGCAGCTGTCAAGGACATCACACACACACACACACACACACACACACACACACACATGAAAAAAATGCAGTATGCTTCCCATGGGGTGAGATGAAAGCCAGCATCCTATGGAGCAAAGTCCTGGATAGGAACAATCTGAAAGACAGTCAAGGCTTGAGTCTTGAGAAGTTGTCTTCCATCCCACCATGCTTCGGCTGGGATTTTAAGTAGATTGCCTCCCTGTTCTTATCCTCAGATTCCCCCAGTGCTCGAAATAACAGGACAAATCTCAACATCTCCCATCTCAGTCAGGTCCACTGACTTTTAAGATCCTACTGCTGCTGGGTAGGAGACTCCACTGAAGACAGGTCGCACCTTGGAGCTCTTTCTAGAACCCAATAATGCCCTCTATGGATTGTCTCTTTTTCTCTACCATATTGCATTGCACCAAGATCCTTGGTTGTCTGATTTGAGTTCCCAGTCCCAGGGCACACACCATCAATCCTGCTTCTGGTCCTCCTTCAGACCACTCTCTTCTAAGAAGCCAGAGTCATTTCAAAATAAAAGCCAGAAGGGTCAACGACATCACAAGAACCTGGCCCACAGAATGAACTAAGCAGGGTGCATAGGGGCTCACAGAGATTGAAGCTCCAATCAGGGAGCCTTTATGGGTCTAAGCTAGGTCCTCTGTATGTATGTTATGGTTATGTAGCTTGGTGTTCTTGTGGGACTCTTAACAGTGAGTGTGGGGCTCTCTCTGACTTTTTTGTTTGCTTTTGGGAACCTTTTCCTACTACTGGGTTGTTTTATCCAGCCTTGATATGAGGGTTTGTGCCTAGTGTTATTGCAATTTTTTATGCTGCATTTGGTTGATATCCCTGGGAAGTCTGATATTTTTTTTTCTCAAAGGAAACAGAGGAGTGGATCTGGGGAAGAGGGAAGAGGTTGGAGAGGGATAGGGAGGGATGAAGGGAAGGAAAACTGCTCTAGGAATGCAATATATGAGAGAAGAATGGATAGACTGATGTATAGACAGACAGACAGACAGACAGACAGACAGACAGAAGGTCCCTGTCTCTAACACCCATAGGACCACCTCTCACTTCCCTGCAGCAGCTCTAGCTCCTTCAGGTCATGGCTTGACTATCCTAGTATCCTACTTCTGGAAAGAACTAGTTTGGATCTCATGTCAAATGTGTGTGTTCCCCTTTAATTCTATTTCCCTTCGTTGTTTATTTTTGTGCTACTTAAGCAAAAGTTAGTTATCTACTTATACTTCATCTAAAATCTGATTCAGGTGCATGTCCCCCCTACTGGGCACATGCTCCATAGAGCAGAGCCTCGTCCATCTTGTGCCATTTTGTATATCACCAGAACAAAGCTGGTAGTTAACCAGGAACAGGTGTCCAGGTGGTATTTCAATAAATGCATATTTTCATAAATATGTAAGATATTTAATAAGACTTTTCAAAAGAAGAGAGGAAAGGGAAAAAGGAAGGAAGGAGAGAAGGAGGAAAGGAAAGGAGAAATAAGGAAAATAGTTATGCAGGAGGAAGAAAGGACAGGGAGGTGGGGAAAGAAGAAAGAGGAAAGAGGGAACAGAAGAAAAGAAAGGAGGGCATTTTTGCTTATTTGAATATTCTTTGGTGATTATCTGTCACTTTCAGAGGAAGAAAAGAATGACTGACATTGTATTTATGCATAAGAGAAACCCGGATTAAGTTTCAAGGTTAGTCTGGAGATGGCTGTCAAAGGGGCAGGCAATGGGTAAAGAAGACTTCCAGAGGAAGGTTTGGAATAAGGTTATCCCCACATTCTGGAAGGACATTTCTGTTGCCATGTCAACAGTGACTTGGACAGTATTCCAAGACCCCACCCCTTCCAGAAAAAGAGAACTTCGGGATTCCACGAGGATCCTTGGGAGACTTCTTCTGGCGGACCCTGACAAAGGCCTCTTGGACTCTACTCCCTTCATTCCGAAGTGTCCTTGGAAGCATTCTGCCTCAGAAGGCCCAGGAAAAGCATGTGGCCCTGTGTCACCATGTGCTTCCATATTTGGATGACCAGAGGGATCGAGCCTGGGAGGACAGCCAAGCTGCTCTTCGCTGGGTGGCCCTGAGTGAGTCACTGCACCTCAGAACTCTAGCTGCATGTAAACCGGAGGTCTGATTCTCTCTCTCTCCGCTTCATTCCTGTACGAGGACAAGAGTGAAGGTGTTCTTCTCTAGACAGTAAGCACTCACAAACACCAGCAGTAAAAGTCCTGTGGAAATCCAGCCCCGAAGCTCAGGTCTGCTAGAAGAAAGAAAAGAAAGAGGGGAGGGAGGGAGGGAGGGAGGGAGGGAGGGAGGGAGGGAGGGAGGGAGGGAGGGAGGGAGGAAGGGATGAAAGACCCTGCTGTTCTGTTCTGGGTAGAAAGCAAGAAAATTGTCTGATAGTCATACTGTGTTCCATGACTGGGACCCACAGGATTGCTTGGTACCAGAACAAACCTCCTTTGGTTAATTCAGCTCTAGACCTCAGGGGAGTTCATAAATGCACAGATACCTAGGAAGCTACCCCTCACAAGGTCAGAAAACAAGGTCCCACCCAACAAACTCTCAGGGGGGACATCTAAGCATTAGAAAGAGTGAGAGCACAGAGCAGAGATATTTACACAGCTCATAACTAAACACTAACAGAGATTCTAGGTGTATTTAACAAGTCTATTGTGATTTGGATATTAATAGACACCCCGTGCCTCAGTCTCAATGGACAAGAGGCTTGATAGACATCACTGTGACCATTTTACAGATGGGTGAATTGAATCCAAGAAGACTAAGGAAGCTAAGATCATGCCATTTGGAATGCTGGGAAAGAATGCAAGCTATGCACTCTCTGCCTGCTCATGGGCTCTGTCTTGGACCTGCCAGCATGCCAGCCATTGAAAGTGGCCTATCCTGAAGGCATCACGTCCAGTGTGGCTCCCTGGCTCTAAACCTCTTGTAGGACACAGAATCTGTCCCTAAAGAAAAGACCAGGAGCTAACAGGTGGGTTTGGTTTCTTTTTACACAGAAATGAAAGTAACACCTTACCCTGGAAAACAGGTGGGCACAGAAATTGGTCTCTTCGGGGCAGAATGAAAGGGACAGAATGGAGTGGGGGCAAAAGCTCTCAATATTGTAGAGAAGACATACCTCAAGGTGGCTGGCTCACTGCTGGTTTCTGATTCCCAATTGCCCTAAACGCCTGCAAATGGGAAAGCAAAATCCGTGATCACTTTCAGAAGACAAAACCCGTGCCCTGGATATTCAGAACAGGAGCCCGAGTTTGGTGCCAAACTGCCTTTAGTTTAGGCTCTGTGGCCACATCTCCCCCATGACTATTAAACTCTTCCCGTCCAGAGGCAAAGCAGCCCAACAACACCACAGAAAAGACGAACATACTCCTGTTCCAATAAGACTTTAATGGCGACCACGGGTGGAGAAGTTGTTATCGGTCAGATCCTGGTTTAGAACAGGTGCAGGCAACTATTCAAGACAGTTGTTCCAGGAATTCCACAGATTTTAGTATTTCTCCCAACACAAGTGTTTGCTAATCATCACAGCCCAGCAGGTCCAATTCTAGGCTCTGGGGTTCAACAGCTTGAACACAAGCAGGGATTCCACTCCCATCTCTCCCCAAGAGATGTTTCATCCACACTCTGCAGAGGACAAGTGGAGATGCTGGTAAGAAACACACCACAGCTCATGAGGACAGAGCAGGGGTTCAGGAGAAGACCTGCAAACCTGAGATTGCAGAACTCAGAGCAGAATCAAGACCCTCACCACCCGCTTGAAGACTGCGTCTCTACCTCCAGCCAAAGCACGTGGCCTTCTATTGCCACCTCTTCTTGAGCTTCATGGGCTCATGCTTTGCCCATCAAGAATAGGGTAGAGGAAACCTGCAACCTTAGAGCAGCCCAAAAGAAGCTGCTCTCCAGAGAAAGCCTGTCTCCTGTATAAATGACACAGACATCCAGAGGATAGGAGGGTCTGAAAACCCAGCGAGGCCCTTAGCTGTAGATTCCAAGCTGATCGACATAGCCCTGCTTGACGGCTTGGCCTTTGTATATTTCTGGGTGACGCAGACTTGTGAACGGGAATTCAGTTACAAAAAGTACAGAGTGGCTAGGGGCCTCTAAGAGTTTTACGCACACTGTGCCACACACAGTAGGCAGCCATGCTCCTTTTTTCTGGGCCCCGCTACCAGCCAGGACAGGCAGGACATGTCTTGGGGTTTGGACGAGTCATTCATGGATATAACTGCTCAGTTGAGTCACTACTGAGCAAGAGCTCTGGACACGATGCTTATATCATACAGACGGTATGAAAACAGGGCAACTGAGTCCCAGAAGCTACTAAGGATCCCTGCGAACAGCCGGTAGCACATGCTAGAAACCTGCAATGTTCCAGGTACCATGCTAAGCTTTTTCTGTAGGCAACTAAGGATAGTGACCCCTCACAATGGCACAGTGGCCTTTTACATGTCATTGTCCAAGGGTTATTGTCCAAGGGTTTTGCTTTTTTTTTTTCTATTGCTGTGATAAACACCATAACTAACAGCAACAGGGAGGAAAGAAGGGTTTAGCTTACACGTTTCGATCACAGTCCTTCACTGAGGAGAGTCAGGGCAGGAATGCAAGCAGAAGCAGATACCAAGGACAACCACAGAGGAAATCTGCTTACTGGCTTGCCCCTGTGCTCCTGTTTAACTTCCTTTCTTATACAAGCCAAGACCACCTACCCAGGAACAGCCCCACGCACAGGAGGCTAAACCTTCCTCCACCAATTAACGATCATGAAAATGCCTCGCAGACATGCCTACAGGCAAACCTGGTGGAGGCAATTTCTCAACTGAGATTTCTTTTTCCCAGAGGTCTCAGTTAATGCCAAGTTGACAAAAACACACACACACACACACACACACACAAAAACCAAGCCAACAACACAGTCATGATGTGCAGTGTAATATATATTCCCATGTAGTCAGTGCTTAGGTGTGACCCTGGTGAGAGCTTGATTCTAGGGCTCTTCTTGCTCTCGAGGCAGAGAGCACAGCAAGGATGATGACGTCGGACTGGCTAAGGCCACCCCTCTCTTCATCAATACCCTCACGTCCTTCAAACATGTGACTCACATTGCAGAAAGCAGAGTCTGTAAGGAAGAGAAAGTAGGGAAGGCAAAACAATTGCCTTGGAGGCATTGACATCCTCTCGCCTCCCCAGAAGCAGAAAGAAAAGGTGTATCGGGGAGAAAAGCCTTTGCCAGGAGATTGGGATGTGGTTCGGAATAAAGGTCACGCGTTTGCTGAGTGAAAACAATGCTAGCTAGTGACAGTCCTGTGGATCTCTCAGGCACACAGGCTTAGCAGGCAAGGGGGTGGGGCTGGATGGAGCTGGACCGGACCCAGCACACAGCTTTGGATAATGAGCTCAGTCAGCCCTGTGGGGTCACTCCAGAACACCAGGGCAACCTCCCTACCAGAAAAACAAACTCATGATCCCTGGCCAGACAAGCACCATCCAAACAGTAAACAGGAGTGATCACACCCCACGGACCCCCAACACTCCTCCCTGTCCTGCTGGGCTAATAATAATCTCAGTAGCCAACATGCACGGTATATTAATGGGTCAGGCAAATGCGCTCAGGGGTTTGTTTGTATGCATCTTTTTAACCCTCAGAAAGCCTTTGGTGTGGGTAGACAGGAAAGACAATTTCCAGTAAAATGTAGGAGAGATAACACATCACAAAATAGCCAGGTTTTTAACTGTCCCAAGAACTAAGAAATGGGTTTTGAAATGATTGACAAACCAGTTAGCTTGACTCTGTTGTTGCATGTTATTGGCATGTATTGAGGTACCTCAACTATACCAATAAATATATACAATTACTATCATAGGTGGCAAGTGATAAAATTATCCATTTTACAAGTGAAAATTTTGAGGATTTGCAGCTTATATGGGATCCTTAAACTATTTAAGAGAGAAGCAAAAGTAAACATCTTGGTCAGGGGTTCTGAACCTTCCTGATGCTGCAACCCTTTACAACAGTTCCTCATGTTGTGGTGATCCCCCCAATCATACAAATTCTTTTTGTTGCTACTTCATAACTGTAATTTTTCTACTCCCATGAATCATAATGTAAATATTTGACTTGCAGGATATCTGATCTACAACTCCCATAAAAGGGTCGTTTGACCACCAAAGGGGCCAGAACCCACAGGTTGAAGACCACCGATCAAGGCAGCTTCTGTGGCTGTCACATGTTGTTGGGTTGTTGGGCTTGGCAAAATAAACATATCCACACAGAGATACCTTACATAAGTGTGATATCTGGGATCTTTATTGCATTGGTAAAGTGGTGACCCCAGGTCCTAGGTTGATATTGAGAATGGTGATACAGCTGTTCATACCTGAGGAGCATCCTGCAGCTGCCTGTAGTTTCTGTGTAAAGTGTGTGTGCTCTCAGGCTTACCACCACTGACACCTCCCAGACTGTGGTATTAATCTAACTAGGACCTCTTAATTCCCCTTGGCTCCTGGGAGGAACTACCCTTACCCTGGCCGGAGCTTTCAACTTGGTGAAACCTCGAAGCCTAGCAGTCCCTCCTTGGTCTCATAGGCGTACATGCTCAGTTCCTCATTTCCCCCTCCTATTCCAGCATTTTAGGCCTTCTGGGTTTTTTTTTCCCCACCTTATTCTGCATAATTGAGTGTTAAACTATCTATACTTTCTTGTAGAAACTCGGGGTTAGAGGGTAAATTGTGGCATTTCTCATTCAAACCATCACGGGTAACTAGAACTTGTAGTTGAAGTGCTTGTGAATAGGATGTGTATTTTTACAAACGACACACCTTAATCATTCTACTACAGGGCAGAGGGCACTAGATGTTCATCTGTAAAAGGGAAGATGTTTTCAGAAGACAGTGCCTTGATCACAGAACTGTGAGAAAGAAATTCCCATCATGTGTGAGCTACCAGTTCACGGCTCTCTGTCACAGCATCTATAGAAGTTAAGACAACAGGCCTTGGAGAAACGTCACGTGAATGCATTGGGGAGTCATAACATAGTGTCTTTCTTCATTTCTGTGGGTGACTCTTCCTCAAGCAAATACCTGGCTCTTTTCTCTTGGCTCCAGCTGTCTGTTTAGAGTCCCTGGCATTTTCTCCTTACTTGAGTCACATGGTGGATGCATTGGCACAAAGTCATGCATCCTGGCCCTGACTTTTCACCCACTTGGACATTGGCCTTCTCTCCTGCTGTGGGCAAATTATGGATGATGACATTCTAAGAAACTGGTGGCATACCCACACTCATACCCGGGGGTAGGGGGGGTGCAGGGGAGAACAACAGCCCTGCTTCCTAGTGTGAGTTTATTTGAGTATCACAGCAATAAAAGAACACAGAAGCTTTCCTTCACCAGCAGATTTTCTTCAGTGCGGTACCCAGGCTCTCATGATGGATATTTATGGAACACTCCACCCCAAATTGCAGAGGAAACATTCTTTCAAGTGCACATGCAACATTCAGCATGGTGTACCACATGCTGAGCTATTCAGGATGGCAGCCTTAACTCTGAAGGAGCCAAATTCAAGCACAGTGTCTTCAGCATTCTATGAAAATACATACGAAATTACCAGTAGAACATAAACAGGACATCCCCAGAGGATTCATCTTGGTCGTAACTTGATTGGATTAAGATACCTAGGAAGGTTAATAAGGCACATGACTGCACTTGCTTGTGAGGTTATTTCTAGAGACCATTGATTCAGGGGGAGCCCAGTCCTGAGCTGGAGGGGTACCATCCCATGGGCTGGAAGCCCTGATGGAACACAAAGAGAGAAGTCAGTTGTTACAGACATTCCCTTTCTAGTTCCTGGGCATCATGGGGAGAGCAGTTTCACTCTATAACATGTTCTTGCTATCGTGATGTTCCACAAGACCAGACCATGACTATAGAGCCAGGCAACTGTGGACTAAAACCCTCAAAGCCATAGCCCAAAGAAGTCTTTCTACCTTGAAGGTAGTTCTCTTAGAAATTTATCAGACTGATGAAAAATAACTCATACAATTCCCATTTGTTTGTAAGTGAAGAATTCCACTCAGTGCTTGGCACAAAGTAGACCTTCAATATTGGTAGCTTCATCTTCTGGATGGTTGACAGTCAAGGCTGTTGCCTTTGAGGGTAAAGGGCATGACTAAAGTCTTGACTATGTCACCCATTATCAATCTGAGGCAAAAACCTCCCAGGTTTTTACCAGATTCATACCTGGGTGAGAAGATCTCAGGCACCTGTCGTAGTGGAGTTCCACTCTACCCTCTCTCGTAAAGAGTATCAGCTTTGACTACACTACCCAATAGAGGAGGGGGCTTGACACGATGTTGAGTCTCATTCTGCTTACCTGAACATGGTCCCAAAGACCCAAGTGGCTTGCTTTCCTGTGTCTTCCATGCTAGGGACCATCCATGAGAGTAGCACCAAGGTTATTCAGAGACTCTGCAAGCCAAACTGCTCAAGGTAACGGCAGCCACATGCGCAATGCTCCTTGGTTTGGGAAATGAAAAGGAATAAGAATTTGGACTTAAGAGTTTCCTTGAACTTTTCAAGGCAGACGATCTGGTCTGGGTTTGGCTCATTATATAAGTGGACAATTTGTAGCGACAAGGACCTGCCACTCTTTTCAGAACCCCCAAAAGGCGGCATGAAAAGACATGGGAAATACACGAGCAACAGTCTACTGACACAGCAATGGCAGCAGGATAATTTCTGCATGAAGGAAGATTTCACAGAGACAAGAAGAAATGGAAAACATATGACATTCCTGAACCCATTAGCCAATCTTGTCCCTTCTTTCTCTATTCTCTACTGTCCCCAGCCTCTAGCAGCCTCTATGTTGCTCTATGTGCGTCCCCATGTGAGCGACATCCCGGAATGCTTGTCTTTCTATGTCTGACTAATTTCACTTAACATTGTGACCTCCAGCTTCATCAACGTTAGCACAAATGGCAAGTGTTTATCCTTTATGTGGGCAAAGTGTTCCACAGTGTCCGTGTACCTGCTATTTATCAGGAGGAAGAAGTTGCAAGCTTGGCACACTGTGACACAGAAGGGTGATCAGAGTTCACAGCATTCCATCGTAGTTCAACATAGGTAAGAGACAGGCTTTGGAACATGCTCCTTACTGAGAAATGACACACTTGAGGTGATGGATGATGCCCAGAGTTTATTATTTCACAATGAACATAGATCCCAAATCCTCTCCTTGGACCTTATAAATAAATGTAGCTATTACATGGGGTGCACTTCTTGCACCACAAGAAGTGGACAAAACACTTCCTTCGCTTCCAGTTCACGGACATTAAAATCTGTTTAAAGAGGTCAGGTAACAGGCCGGTTTTGTCATATCCTAGCCGTGGGGCTATGGCAAGAACCTCTGTACATTTCCTCATCTGTTAAACTGTTTGATGAGTCACCAAAGAGGGCTGTGATGAAGATCACAGGCTACAGGAGATCGTTGGTGGGGACCCTCAGCAAGTGCCTTTTACATAGTATCACTGAGTGTCTGACATGCAATCTAAACACACACGCTTCATTATGATGGTCTGTGGAAGGGGTAGATACTAAAGCTTTTTTGTAACCCAGAAAAGAGAACTATGCCCAGGCATTGAAGCTGTAAGTTGTGAAGATGAGCTGACATCCAGTCTAACACCAGAAGCGTAATGCTTCAAGGAGGTTGGGAATGGCCAACAGAAGCCACCTTTCACATCGCCTCAGCGAGCCAATTCCAATGGCCAGTATACAAGAATAAGGATCTAGAATGTCCCGTCTGAGATGAGCCTTTAAGGCTTTCCTGTTTTGCCAGTATTGGTGGAAGGCCTCCATGGCTGAGCGTGAGGAGATGTTGAATGGAGAACTCTTTAGGTTGGTCTGCCCACAGGGCTGTGATGGAGAGAGACTTGCATTGAAAGCAGTTGCTGAAGAACTTTTTCTCCTAACAGTGGCAGGCATGGCACAGTGCTCTGGAGGAAAAGCTCTGTTGTCCAAAGAAGTAAATTCCCATTATTCAGCAGTGCCACCTGGGAAAGAGAATTAACGTCCCTGGTTCCAGGAAAAACTTTGCAGTAGAGTCAGCATAATAATGACCCTTGCAACACAACTAACTACTGTGTTGTACTGAACACCCAGGATTCTGACGATGTCTCTGCTCCATTAGCTGTGCCTAGAGTCTCTTCTGCCATCTTGTTGGCATCTCACAAGGAAATGCTAGCTCATGTCATCAAAAAGGAATGTCACAAGAACCAAAGGAAATGGGGATTGACTGATCATTGTTGGCACAGACAAGTTCTTGCTAACAACAGCTCATCAACACAACCTGGTCTTAGGATCTGACTTCATCCTTCTCACAGAGCACAGTGGTGCTGAACAGCCATGAAGCAATGCCATTTGACTCTTTCTAATTGCCAGGAGTCCAATGAAATCACTCTCTGCCCCAGACCACAGAGCAGTATTACACCTCTGTGTTTTACTGTGTAAGATGGGACATTGGGTTAGAGACTCTGATACGAAGGCGTATTTGCTCCAAGCTCTCTCTTTCTCACAAATTCGAGTCTTTGGGGTCTTGTTTGGCATCTGGGTTCAGACTTGTCTTTGTGCTCACCCACCTTCAACTCAGAAGTCTTTTCCAATGATGGATAGCCTGCAATCAGAGGCACGCTGCAACTCCACTAGGAAGATTTGTTTCGTTCTTGGTACACATAAATGGTGAGTTACACAGTGGATGGCATCTAGGTTGGAAGAAATATTGCAGCTGCTGCAAAGCCCATTGCATTTAAACAAGATTTGCTTTTGCTCCGATCAACGGCAACACCCGCACGAGTACTCCTAACATAGAAGTGAGAGATTTGATGCACTAAACACTGGAAAATTATTTGCTCAGCAGCGCAGTGTGCAGGAGCAGGAACGAAAGTGGGGTTCTTATTTCATTGCTGAGTATGTATTATTGCAGAACGTTGTGTTTTTAAGACACCAGCCATTTAGTAATGTTTGTAGTGATTTTGGTCCAGAATTTGGGAAAAACTTGGCGGGGTGGTTCTCACTGGGGGGTTCCCATGTCCTTGTATTCAGATGTCACTTAGACTGTGGTTGTCCAAAAGTGCAAAAGGCCTAAACAGCCAAGATGGCCATCGTTGGCTGGAAACTAATCTGAGGCCATGACTGGGGCAATACCTGCTCTTCAACCTTACAGTACGATGTTCCCCCAGTTCTTGTGCTCCAAGGGCAGTAGACAGGTGCTGCAGGCAACAGTCACCAGTCCACACACACTTTAAGGAAGAGGCAGAAATCCCATGTTCCAATAGGAAGTGCACAAACAACAAGCTGATTTTGTCCATAAACCACCACAGATGAGAATGCTGTTTAGACTAGGGCTGCCCGAAGATACCCAGGACGAGAGGAAGGGGGATTATCGAAGTGTGGTGCGATTGATTTCTAATTGAATCAAAGTTCATTCAATCACCTACACATCACCGCAGCTGCAGTCATTTGGGGGAATTCCTCCATCTTTGGTACCTTTGTTCAGAACACATCAGGAACTTTCCAAGAAGTAGTCTCCAGGGCGATTTTACAAATTCGCAAGAAACATCGGGCTTAGAACTTGGTCAAAAGGTTTTTATTAAGTTTTACTGCTTAGTAAGCACCCAATATAGAACATCCTGGCTTCTGTAGATACTCTGACAATGGAACAATGCTAACAAATTAGTCTGTGATGAGGTCAATAATTTAGAGTCCTCCAGATGACTACAAGGAAGAAGAGGAACACACTTTAGAGGGCGGGAAGAGAATGCCATTCTGGAAGATGGCATTGAAATACAAGTCAGAATAAAGTGAGGACGGAAGCAGGTGGTTATGCTGCTGAAGAAGGAAGGTAGGCCAGGCAGAAGCAGGAAGGCTGGGTAGAAAGGAGACTGGCCCAAAGGTGGTGCCCCTTTTTCTGGGGTGTTTCTGACAGAAAAGGTAAGAAGCGAGAGGGAAAGGCAAACATTCTGTAGGCACTTTCCAAAAGATTTTTAATGGGCACACCTACTAGCTGAATTTTTAACCTCCTGTTCTAGAACTATTTTAAAATAATGCCTAGTCGTTGCTCAACTCCAAGTGACCTCTCTGAAGGCTGGCCATTGGGGTAACAGAAAGGGACATTCCAGGTCACGTCAGCTCCTTCACACATGACCAGCAGCTTGATCCCTCACTGCACACAAAGGGCAGAGAACGCGGGCACTAATCCTCCTCCCACTCTACCTCTGACAAGAAATCTTAAGATGGGAGGAGAAGAAAAAAGGCCACTAGAATGGAAAGACCCTTTCAAAAAGGAGTTTCAAAACTTCTAGAGCCTTCCAGAAGGGTTGCCAGGAGAAACTTGAATCCATTTGCATGAGCAAGTTTGGTTATCTTGGTCATCTAGGGACATGACTTGGTGGTCACAGCCCTTCTTTTTTACAAGCCAGTGTTCTCTAAGGAGTCTTTTGTGTCAAAAAGAAACTGCTAGTGTGGGTGTTTTGAGACAGAGTTTTGGGGGGCTTTCATGCTCTGAGGGCCTCAGTAGTGAATGGGGTCCAGGTTCCCCTTGATGATGGATCAAGGTGCACAACAAAGCCTAAAACCATAACTGCTTTTCTTTTCCTTCCATTTGGCAAGCCCTTCCACAGCCACTTGCTGTGTGTCAGGCAAGGTTCCAACCTTTTTATAAGCATTTCGTCATTTAACGAGATTGGCACTCATGACATAAATAGTGCCATTGTCCCTCATTCAGTGTTCATTGCACCCTCATTCAGCATCACACTGATGAGCAAAGACTTTGTAGAGAAGCTAAGAGACTATCCAAGGTCACATGGGCGACTCTGTGCTGAAACCCAGGAGCTCAGGCTGCCCCTCACAGTGCAGGTAATCTGAATATATGTTAGGAATGTTTTCAGCTGCAAGTAAGAGATAGCCAACTTCGTTTGGTTTTTTTACTTTTGTTGTTTGAGACAGGGTTTCTCCGTGTAGCCTTGTCTGTCCTGTAACTCACTCTACAGACCAGGCTGGCCTCAACAGCACAGAGATCCACCTGCCTCTGCCCCGCAAGTACTGTATGTAAAGGTGTGCACCCCCACTCCTCAGTGGAGTAAGCCCAACTTAAAGCAACTCTGTCTCCTCTCTTCTCCTATGCTAGTTTCATGGCTCATCACCTCATAGGCCTACCATAGCTGCTGCACCCCCAGGCACCCTGCATATGCCTCAAAAATCAAAATGTGCCCCCCCAAAATTCATACATTGCTATGCTTATTTCTAAGTATGTTTACATCAAAACTAAAAATGCATTTTTAAATGTAGAAGGCCAGTAAGATGGCTCAGTAGGTAAAGTTGCTTACTTACCTCTAAGTCTGACGACTAAGGTTGAACTCTAAATACATGCAATGGCTTGCACATGCCCACATAATACACAATTAGTAAATGCAAAAAATTATTTTTAATATACAAGAATGGTCTTCTTATGTTGAAATAGGAGCGGCAGGGCTGCGTCCCCGGCACCCGGCCGCCCGCATGGCTAGTTTATACCCAGAAATAATTACACGGAAACTGTATTCTTTCAAACACTGCCTGGCCCGGCTAGGTCCAGTTTCTTATTGGCTAGCTCTTACATATTGTTCTAACCCATTTCTAATATTCTGTGTAGCCCATGAGCTGGCTTACCGGAGAGGATCTTAACCTGCGTCTGTCTGGAGTGGGAGCATCATGGCGACTCACTCACTCAGCTTCTTTTTCCCAGCATTCTCCTCTGTCTACTCCGCCTACCTAATTTTCTGTCCTATGAGGGCCGAGGCAGTTTCTTTATTATTAACCAATGAAATCAACAGATAAGATACAAGACCCACCTCCATCATTCTTAAAACTTAGGAAAAGAAAATGAGCACCTAAATTAAAGCAAATAAAAACCAGGCAAGAGAATGATCTAAGCAGATACTTCACTGAAAGGTAGAAGCAAATAAAATATGAAAGATGCTCCACACTATCTGTTGCCATGGAAACACAAACTAAAACAATATGGCGATGCCACTACACACCCATCAATATAGCCCAAATCTAGAACATTGGCAGGAACTACAGGAGTTTCCTGTACTCAAGATGGACTTGAAACTGTGATCCCGCTGCCACAGCTGCTCGGACAGATGGGATTTCAGGTCTGCACCACCAGACTCAGTGAAATTTTATTGATGTGTTCCTAAGGTCAAACCTAGGACTTTGAGAATGCTGCATGAGTGGCGTAGGGCTGAGTTACCTCCCCAGTGCGTGTCACTGAGGCTCTCAATTCACAGCTAGTGGGGACCGTACAGCAGTTTGGAAGAGGGTCTGGCAGTAACCTTTAAACTCAACATTGTCTTTACCTAAGATTCTGTCCTCCTTAGAATTTCCACAAATGAGCTGAAAACGTTACTCAGTATAGATGTTTATAGTAGTAGCTTCATTCCTTGATGCACAGATTTGAAGGCAGACAAGATGGGGCAACTCTAGCTCATCTAGACTCTAGAACATCAATCAATAGTTTAGTCACATGCACAAAGCAGGTATGAAAAGGCTACCTATTATGTGACCTCCAACCATGTGATAGTCTCAAACCTGTTCAAGAGATAGTAAAAGGCCCAGTCCTTGATAAGAGTTAAAAGGGATGCTGGGCATGGTGGTGCACACCTCTAATCCCAGCACTTGGAAGGCAGAGGCACGCAGACCTCTGAGTTCGAAACCAGAGCAAGTTCCAGGACAGCCAGGGCTACACAGAGAAACCCTGTCTCCACAAAAACAAAACAACAACAAAGACGAGAGAGAGAAGGAAGGAAGGAAAGAAGGGAGGAAGGAAGGAAGGAAGGAAGGAAGGAAGGAAGGAAGGAAGGAAGGAAGGAAGGAAGGAAGGAAAGAAGGAAGAGAAGGATGGACACCCTGGAGTATGGTGTATTTCTAAGGTAGTGAAAGTTCCCTTATGATCCAGTGATGGTAGATTTATGCAACACTATGCATTAATTAAGCTTACTTACTCCCAATGTAATGAACTTTGGCACCAATATTGCCATATAAATTCTAAGAAATCGAGTACAGCAGTGCAAGATATTAGTAATAAGATAGTGTGAGGGAAAAAAAGAACTCAGTGGATTCCCTGACAAAGCCATACCTACCCTGGAAAAACGTCTATTAATCTAAACACAAATACACACATAGCTTGACAGCATGCATATCCTTTAATACAGTGGTTCTATTTGTGTCATTGTTTCTGGAGACAGAACATGCTAGAAGGAAAACTTTACCTACTGGAAGGAAAAAAGTTAGGCAGTTACCTTTTTTAGTTTGTTAATAATGATTTAGAGAAAAGGAAACATCAACATTTAATTGAAAAGTTATGAAACAGCCCAGGTGTCACCGGCAGAAAATCATGGGTGGGAAAAATGGAAGACACCTTAAAGCGACAACCCTGTGGGTGTGGAGGGCTGCAGAATGACAGAGTTATGTAGAACAATTGCTCTTATATATTTTCTATCCAATTCATTTTCCTGTCCTTTCATATCTGCCTTTTGCCCTTCAAACCCCCCCCTCCAAAATGAAATAAAATAAAACTGAAGAGAGGAAGAAAAGAAAAATCAGTCTTGTCATGGGAACTGCAGTGTGACACAGTGAGTCACACAACAAACCCCTTCACCTCTACTTTTCCACGCAGGCATTCATTGCAAACAATCACTGGTCTGGTTTGCGGCCCTAGTCTCTGCTATATCACTGACACTGGGTCCTCATTGGGATTCTTTATGGACATCCCAGTGTGACCCTGAGTCATGGAGATTCTGCAGCCCAGGGTCCACAGGACTAATACCATACCCCACCTGGCTCCAGCAGACCACAGATTGGGTGGCTGTTGGGGTGGACCAACACATAACCCTGGTTCTGAGTCTGGGCAGTTAGTTGTAGGATTGGTCGGCCCAACATCTCTCCTCTGTCTTCACCACCAGGATGAGCTCTCCAGCATTGCCCTGGCTAGCTCATCCCTTGCAGTAATGAGCAAGGGGCAGGGCTGTTTCTCAGGCTTTCATGTCCTCAGGGTAGGTTCTCCCACCCCTACACCTTCAGGGCCAGCTCTGCTGTGTTGCCCAAGCCACTCTCCCAAGTGTGGTAGCTGATGGGGACAGAGACAGCTCTCCTTCTTATGACCTCAGGGACTAGGTCTACCACCTGCCTCAGGCATTGACTGGGTGGGCATCTCTTCCCCCACCCCTGCTGCCACATGACAGGTGAGTAATGGGAATAGCTCTCCTAAGCTCACAACTTTGGGGGTGGCTCACCCACACCTCAACAAGAACGATTCTACTGTGCTGCCCAGGTGAAGCACAGGGCCTACTCTCCTAAGTGCTGCAGCCGGTGAGGGACAGGGGCAGCGGTCCCACTCTTACAACCCCAGAACCAGCTTGCCCACCTGCTTCAGGTGCTGATGGATTGGGGGGGATGGCTCACACCCAGTTTTAAGTGATGAGGGTAGGGAGCCAATGTTCTTCATACTTCTCTAAGTTTAAAATATTGCGGGGAAATTAGTCACAGCCGGAAGCTAGACGGCAGAGGACTGCTTATGTGAAACCAAAGTGAACACACCTGAAGCTCAGATGTTTGCTGGGGACACAGCAACATTGCCAGATGTGCTTCCAGCGTGCTAAGATCAATAGGAAATGGATATTAATTGCGTGAGCGGGAAAGGTTAATAATGTCCTTACTGGCTTACTCAACCTAAAAACCTCTACTTCCTAATTCCTTTCCGGGGAACTGCAGTAGAGAAATACGGGGGAGAAAATTATATCTCTGTTTTTAAGGCCTCCCAGTGCCATTTATCCAGAACGTGAAGTCTTCTCAGTTGGTGCATTTCTGATGGAGGAGAGGTATGCCAATCACAGAAGGGTAATGGAACAGCTGGTATAATCAGAACTCAACCAGTTCTCTGGGGAGTGTGTGTACCCCCAGCCTGGCTCCTCAGGGAAGCCCCCGGAAGAAGGGAGTTTCCATAAGCTGAATATAAGAGGCCAAGGGATTTGTGTCCGAGTCTTCCCCACATTATGCCTTTCCTCAAGGATCTATGAATCGTAAGGTACGTTGACACACTCTTGAAAGTTTACTAGTTGTGAATATATATGGTGTTAAGTGCTGAGAACACAAAATATGGGGAGGGAGAGGGCAACTTGGATTGATCTGCATTGATCTACAAGAGATTCTAACACATGCAATCAAGAAAGTCAGCTATTAACCACAGCAAGATCCCCGTGACTTACTCACTAATTCATATCATCAGTTGGCCAGGTACACTTTGCCAATGAAATCTTCTCCATTTTCTTTGCACCCATTGTATGAGTGTGTCATCTAGATATTCACTTGGAGTTCACAGCCTCTACAATTATGTTTTTGTTGTTCTGAGATGGGGTTTTGCACTACAACCCAGGCTTGTCTTGAATTCTTGATCTTCTTGCCTCAGTTTTCCAAGAACTAAAATCACATGTGTGCACTATCACACCCCCCAAAAATTATGCATTTTCCATAAAAAGGGAAAGGAATGGGTCGAACGTCTATTGCATAGCGCCATGTCACCAGAAGACCCAGCTGGTAGGAAGCAAACACTGGAAGAGGTGTAGCTGCGTGTTCTTAGCATCTCCATTAAGAGAAACGTATGGTGGAGTCTGGGCTTAATCTTATAAAACTCTGCTCAACCCATGGAACACGTAAGCAAAGCATTCAGGAGTGGAGGCACACAGCACCCTCAGATACCGTTGGGGTACAGCTGCTAGCATTTTTCACACCTATTAATTATGACCTCTCGCGCAACCACATCATGTACAGACTAAGGGCCAGAGTTTCCACGCCATATGGCAAGGCAAACTCACCTCAGGCATATGAAGAAGAGCCAGTGACCCCTGTGGTCCTGAGCTTCATCAATGGGGAAAACCCTATGGCTCAGGTCTCAGCGAGCAAAGCCTACCCATGAATTACAGTGGTTTAGAACTGAGCCATTCTTGTGGCTCCCTGAAAGGTCTGGCATGTGTCATAAGGGCCCAGAAGACCCGAAGACTCTTTTGTGAAACAAGACCTCCTGTACTTTGCTGGGTTCTCAAGTCTTTTCATAGACTCATGAGATGACCTATCAGCAGGTGAGGGAAGACTTGAAACACCAGGTGAAATATTCCCAGTGGGTGTGGTTTTCAGCCTCTTGTATTTTATTAGTTATTGTCTCCTTCACCACACCAGGTACATGTTCTCTGTCATATATGGGTCCTGTCCTTGAATCATTACATTTGTGTGTTTAAATTGTGTCTTTGACTGTTTTTACCAGCACTTAAGGTTAGACCAGATATGGTCACCACCAAAATTGCTGTTTTGATTTGGGTTTCTAAAAATAGCTCATTTGAAGCCTGTAGTGTAAGAGGATGATGATTACACATAACTCAGGAGAGTGAAAATATAAAACACTTGAACCACATTGCCTAAGCTGAAATTGAGTGCAAATAATGCCTTGTAGCAATAGCTATAATTAGCCATCCTAATAGAATCATTTGAAGATAGAGGTGGTTCAACAAGTGAGTTTAATTGAAAGTAAAAATTTCAGACTATTGTTCCATCAAACCAAGACTGAACGAGAACAGCTCAGCAGTGACCTGGTGAAAAGTATTGAGTATGGTGGGAGATGCCTCGGCAGGATGGCGAAGTGCTCTCTTCTCTCTTCTCCCAGTTTCCAGGCATCTTTCCCAGGTTCAGAAATGTTCTATGTCTTCTGGAAAGAGTGTCTTCTTCTTGTAGGGCCAACAGCACGGCTGGATCTATCTTCTGTGTAGGTCTATCAATCTCCTACAAAAAAGCAAAACAAATTTTAAAAAGGAATTAAAGAACAGGGTGTGGTGGCACATGCCTTTAATCCCAGCACTGGGTGGCAGAGGCAGGTAGATTTCTGTGAGTTAATGTCCAGCCTGGTCTACAAAGAGAGTTTCAGGACAGCCAGGGCTGAGAAGAAATGCAGAGAAGAAAAGAGACCCTATCCTGAAAACCATTCTAGAATCCAGGATTAGGAGGTCAGAGGAAATAACACTGGCCATTCAATACCTCAATCATTCCCAGCTCTGGGCACATTGCATTCTGGGAGGTGCACACTTACCTACCCGCTCTGGAGGGCTCAACTGTCTCACAGAATTGCCTCCAGCCTGAAGACTTCTGTCTTTGCTATTTATCAGCTGAGTTACTTGGCATTTCTAAGTAGATGCTTCTCATCTGAAAAAATAAGACAGGGTCATTGTTATCATCACATATCCCAGAATGCTCAGGAAGCTGAACTGTGTGCACAATCACTTGGTGCTCTAGATAGTGTCAGGTACTGTAAGCTGTGTGAGAAAGGTTGATCAGGGGGACCAGGGCCTTCCTCCACACTCAGAATGGGTCCGTGAACCAGCAGCATCCTTGTTGCCTTGTGGCCTCTTCTTCAGAGTTCAGCTTGGCATGGGAAATGTTTAGTAGGTGCTCCTGTGTCTGGTATGAGTCACCACCTAGGTGTGTGGCTCTGATTCAGGTGAACATCAGATATGGACCAGGTCTTGGAAGCACTGCCCTGTCTTTGTAGTCAGTGGCAGAGATTCTTCTGTATAAAAAGTGTGGCTGAGTGGGACTGTAAAGGAAGGCAGAATACTGTTTCTAGGAACACTCTAGCCCAGAGTCAATAGGATGCTTAAAAGTTCTGCTCTGGGGGAGATACTCTGGGCTTTAGCTGTGGCTCTGTTTATCAGAGCTAGCTATCTGCTAAGCTTCATAAGCTGATGCCTCTGAGCCTCCCAGTTTTTCCATTATTTTTTAAATTGATATTATAAAAAGTATCTAATATTTGAGTACAGGCAAAGTCTTTTATATTAGCAACTCATTGAGTATTTGAAACATACCACTTATCTACGGTGCACAAATAATGCCGAGGGATATCTCAGGGATGTTACATGCTTAAAAGCACCTTGCTAATAAATGCCAGGAAGAAAGTTCTTTTTCACTTGGGCACTGGGCATTGAATCCAGGGCCTTGTGCGTGTTGAGCAAACACTCTACCACAGAACCCAGCTTGGAAGCAGGTGCCACGACACAGACGGGCTCTTGGAGAATTGTCTGGTGACTTCTATGAGATCACAGGAAGGAAACATTCTCCCTCCAAGCTGCCTCATAGAGGGCAAGTAGTCAACAAATTCTTAACAATGGGGTTTCATTCAAAAATTAGTGTTTTCCCCCTTTGGTCAGAAGGAAAACCGCAAGGATTACTAAAGCATCCACGTAGTGGATGAGAAGGAGGAAGCAGCGACCTACAGAGATTCTGGCCCCTGACAGCTGTTCCTCCCCACCTGTCATGGCATAGGGCCAGAGTTGGGGTGCTCTGCCCTTGAAACTTTCTGTTACCCCCTTTCATTGGGAGCGTGCAGAAACCCCAGCTTAAACAGCTGGAGCGGGAACAGGTCTGACGTCTGCCGGGCAGGAAACATTTCTAAAGAGCACTAGGTTTCTAAGATGAGCTAAACAGATCTATTCCCCGGGGAAATGGGATGTGCTGGTTAACGCACCACTTCTAAGTTCTAGAAATGGTTAAGTGTACAGATCCAGGGGAGACTGCTTGTGCAGAACAGGCAGTGTGCACTTCGGGAATCAGCCAAAACAAAAACCTGATGTAGACTGTTGATTGCTGAGTAGCCAGCCAGTTCCTGCTCTCCTATTAAAAGGAACCCTAGATCTGTGTGGGTTTAGAGCAGATAGGCATGTGCTCAAAAGAAGTACTGGCCAATCAGAAGAGTCGTTAACCTGGGCTTCAAGTAGACATAGCAATCCTGTCATCTCTGATGGGGATGGCTAGGAGGATACCTGTTCCAAGCTACACAATAACACAGGCTTAGGGGGAGTCTATATAGAATTTCTGGAAAGATTTGTCTTCTCTAATAGAAGATAGTCTGCCTACCTGGTATTTCTTCTTACTAGAGATTTTTCTATGTGAAGCAAAGCATCTAACACAAGGGCCAGTTCAGTGCCCTAACATGATCACAGCAGTGAGTGCACATGTCTTATACCAGGTGCTGCAGAGACCATGTGGAAACAGAAACCACTGAGCATGGCTGATAGAAGTGTAAGTCAGCACAGTCATTTTGGAAAACAATATGACAACAATCATGAAACTAAATGTGCCTGTGAGTTATGACTCATTCACATCATTGCAGGGTTCACACAAGGGAGACTCTCCCACAGGCCCCAGCTCGGGTGCAGGGTGTTCATCAGAAAACCAGAATGGTTCTGCCTAGCATCTACTAACAGGAAATAGAAGAGGGCAGGGGAAGAAAGCAAGCCAGGGCCAATAGCAGGACAAGGTAGGTGTCTCCTATGAATCAAGGGTACCCATAGCACCCAAACTGGATTATTATGGATTGAAATGATTCGTTGGTTACAAGCTTGGTCCCTCATGTGGTAAGGCTGAAAGGTGTTGAGAACATTAAGAGATGAAAGGAGGATCATAAAATACCATTTTCTGGGTGTGGTGTGACACAGTCGTTGTAACCATGATCTCACAGCAGCTGAGGTTGCCTGCCCTGAGCCTGTGCAAGACGGGATCTGTCAACAGCTACTGATGGATGGGGGAGGGTCTTATGAGGTCCACCCCTCCCTGCTTAACTACTGATGACTGATGGATTCTCAGGAAGAGGGGACAATCATCAAACGAACACCTATTGTTATCATAGCCGGTGCACTGTGGAGTTCCATCCCTGTGGTCACTCAGATGTCCCAGATTAAACTCGGAGTGCCATAAGAGAAACAATGACGACAGCAACAACAACAACAACACACACACACACACACACACACAAAAACATGAACTTAAGAAAAGAACCTGTCAGGAGGGAGGAGAGTTCACAGGGGTGGGGAGAAGAGAAGGCAGAGGGAGAGGTAAGTAGAATACATTATATACATGCATCTAATTGCTAACACACTGAATTAACAACAAGAATAAAAATTTTTGAAAGATACACCCACAGTCGTTATCTCAGAGATGATTCTAAATCCACTCATCTGGACAATGAGGACACCAGACTGTAAATCTGTGGCCCATGTGGACTTTTAAATGGTTTTCCTCAAGTGAAGTTTGGTTGGAAAGGTCAATTGCCCTGATTTAATCATCATGCATTATACGTATGTACCAAATCACAGTCATGGACTAAGGAGGCCTGGCTTGGAAGGTGGAAGGCAGAGAGGGCTGGACAGAAGAGATGAACATGTGACCCTTAGATGACTGCTTCCGATTTCCTTTTCTACTCCTTAATCAACATACCATCAAGCGAAGCAACCCTGAAAACTTGTTTCTCTTTCTCTCTTTCTCTCTCTCTCTCTTTCTGTGTCTGCCTCTTTCTCCCTCCCTCCCTCCCTTCCTTCTTTCCTTTCTTTTTTCCAGAAACAGGCTTTTTCTTCAGCTTTGGAGCCTATCCTGGAACTAGCTCTTGGAGACCAGGCTGGCCTCGAACTCTCAGAAATCCACCTGTCTCTTCCTCCCGAGTGCTGGGATTAAATGTGTGCACCACCACCGCCTGGCTTGACAACTTGTTTCTTAAGTGCCTGCCAATGCTAAAAATACCATAGTAAGAGACTGCAAAATGGAAGTCATTCCTGGAGTGTATAATCCAGTTAGGGAGTCAAGACTTCAACAGGAAGAAAATTAGGTACCCATGGAAGAATAAAGGATAACACAACAAAATAAGACTACTGAAGTTTAACAGTGTGGGCCCTATATGGCTCAGACAGAGGAGATCAGGATCACAGAGGGTGTTTTGTGGGAGAGTCCTCTGAAAGCCATATTCCAAGGATGGCCGTAGGTTGCAGAGTGAGTGGCAGCAGCTAGGAGTGTTGAGTGCCTGATGTGGAGAGAGGTCTAATTCTATGTGTTCAGAGCAAGCATCTTCTTGCTGTTATAATAGAAAGAAAATAATGGAGCCCTGGAAGAAGGGGTGGAGAATGAAGACTCAGAAAGCCAGGCAGAGAACTCTAACCTGGAAAACAGAGAAATGAACACTGCAAAAAGCTGTGCAGAGAGACTGGCTTCAGCACAGATCCAGGAACCCTTAAACCTCAACACCGAAGGGCACCCCACAACACCTAAAGAACATTTTTCAAAAGCTAAAGCAGGGAAGAAGTCATAAGAAGTAGAAAAGTCAGGTGTCACCTGTGGGCACTGCAGCCATCAACAATCCATAATGCAAAGCCCAGATGGGACCTCAGAAGTCTTGCCCTCTCAGGGATCGAAGCAGGCTCCATCCTTTGACCAGGGCAACAAGTGAGACCTTACCTTGCAGGCTGCATTAGTCAGAAGTGCTATGTCTTACTGCAGTAAGATGTGTCGCCCAATTCAACCTATCTAGCATCCCTGGATAAATCGATCTGAAGGTCTATAAATATATACAATGATCTCCATCTTTCAGTTTGCTTTTTCAAACTTGTATGTGAGGGCCTTCAATACAAATCGATTTCAGGCTGTTTATAGTACCTAAATGGGGAAACGGCTCTACTGAAGTGGTTGAAAAATGTGCTGACTGTCATCAACTACATGGAGTTGGCAAGTCTACTGTAGGCTCAGGTATCTGTGTGCCAGCAAGCTTTCCTGAATTATCATTGGCAAATTGAAGGAGGAAACCTACTGCCATCAAAAGTACCAAAGGGACCAAGGGAGGCAGTTTAGGAGGAGGGTGCAGTGTAGAGGTGCCCAGTAAATTGGAGGCCGAAAACCAGCAGCATGTAGCCTCTGTGTAAATATGACTGGGCTTATATTCTGAAACGGTAAACATTGTTGCAAAACCGTGACTCATGTTCTGTTGAGTCCCTTCTCCATCCTCAGAAAACAATGTTCACTTCCACCTGAGGTCAAGTTCAAGATCCTGATTGGCAAGGAGAATTTCCAACACAGCACTGGGCAACGCTTAAAGGCTGAGCCCTGCTGCCAGGAACCTGAACTGAGGGAGGGAATGACAAACGGATACCGCCTAGATGTTTGCCACGACTAGCCTCACCCTTGATCAGAGATGGACACTCACTAGCTCCAGCAGCTAGTTTTGTCTGAGACTGAATCTCATGCAGTCATAGCGGGCCTTGAGTTTGCTATACAGACCAAGGACTATGATACCCCTGCCTCTGCTTCCCAAGTGTATTACAGGCAGGTGCCACCATGCTTGGTTTTATGCAGTGCTGGGGCTCAGACCATGAACAGCTAGACTGTCA